CACACTGACCAAGGGAAACTGTAGCATAAGAATTGGACTAAAAGATGCACAAGGACCATAAAAATGCAGGTCTCTTAGGCCATGGTAAAGATTTACACCTGACTTTAAAAGTAATGGATGGCTATGGGAGATTCTGAAGCAGAATAACATAATAAAATTTGCATTTGCAATATATTTTGGTTAAAATAAAAATTAAAAATGAGCTTACTATACAATCTCAGTGCCAATCGCTCTTTACCAATTATAATCTATAAAATATAAATGTCACTTATTGGGCTTCCCTGGTGGCGCAGTGGTTGAGAGTCCGCCTGCCGATGCAGGGGACACGGGTTCGTGCCCCGGTCCGCGAAGATCCCACATGCCGCGGAGCAGCTGCGCCCGTGAGCCATGGCCGCTGAGCCTGCGCGTCCAGAGCTTGTGCTCCACAACGGGAGAGGCCACAACAGTGAGAGGCCCGCGTACCGCAAAAAAAAAAAAAAAGTCACTTATTATAAGCACTATGTAGGAAGTATAAGTGAATAGTGGATAATACTAGATTTTCATTTCTAACACCTCCCTTGGTAATTCAATAAAATAATGATGTGTCAAAATAATTCTAAGATTTGGCTTGCATTCAAATTGAGGCACTTTTTTGATTAACAAAGATTTGCTGGCATTACTATTATAAAGGCTTACTTTAACTTCAAGGAACTAGAATTGGCAATATGTCAAAATTGTGGTGCATTGGTATGCCAGTGGCACGTGTACAAAGATGAAATGGAATGTAAATCAAAATTGTGATTCACTACAGACTGTCAGATATGGTTTCCTGAGATAAGAAAATACCATTGGAAATACTGATTAAAAAAACTCACACACACAACAGAGTGAAACATAACCAATATTCACTCTATGCAAAAAATAAAATTTAATAATAACATCCACCATTTCAGTGAAATTGCCTTTGGAACTCAAATGTGCTGTTAGTATTTGGCAGAACTTCAAACTGGGGATATTTTTAATATCTAAGGTGATGTAAATATAGATGGGTTAACAAATTCTGATGTGATATTGTATAAACTGCCAGTATCTTTCAGAAGTTAAGTGTCTTCTCTACTATGGCAAAGAATGCTACGAAGAAGATCATTTTTCTTCTCTTGCTTGATGGGTTCAACTGTGTCATTCAGGGGAACCTCAATATAGTTCAAAGCATTCTGTGAACTCTAAGACAAGACATGACCATGAGACAAAAACAACAGTAGCTATAAATACCACATTTGTGTAATACAGAAAAAAATAAATTGAAAAGTTTGGATAAGTCCAACTTTATTAATTCTTACAATTTTAATGCACTAAAGGACCTAATATAAATCCTTTAGTAAAGAAAATGAGTACCCATTAATTTATGTTTGTGGTTACATTAGTTTTATATAATGGGGCCATTTTGTAGGCACCTAACTTTTTAGATGTTTTCTTATAATTTATCTGTTACAATGTCAGTAGGAATTATTTTTAAAAAATTCTTTATACAGAATATCACACTAGTTGGTGATATACATAGTAAATTCCTTCCCTCTAGTGGTACGATTCTAAAATATTATCTAACATGCGTGAAAACATACTTGGTTTAGATTACTTTAAAATAGAACTCAAGGAACTAATATCTTATTAAATGTAGATTTATTTTGAAACATACTTGATCATTTGTAATCTGTTGATAATTATTTTTGGTGGAAGCCCATTGGGGTGACTAAATTGAATCTGCCCATTTCAGCAGAATTTTCAGGAGATGCCTAATTTATACCTAATAAAGCATGACATGTAAAATCACAAGTCCCATTACTAAACAAAAATGAATTCAATTTTATACAGAATATATTGCACAATTTATTCCCTATGATTGTACAACTTGAGGGAGAGGAAAATCATCAGTTTGACTCAAGTGTTGAAAATGATTTGTAGGGAGGAATTTTAAGAGCTATTTGTAAGCTAATATTAAAAGAAGAAAGAAAGTATCCATTAAGTACTGAAATTAAAAATTAGATATAAATGATGAAAAATATCCAGGGTTTAGTGGATGTATACTCCTACACCCATTCCTACTCAAGTTCCTTCCAACCATAAGCTCATTCTGCACAAAAAGTTGACTCCTTTCTCAATTCTAGTGGCAGATCTTGTTGAATATACATATCAGTAATGAACAATGAGAACTGAGGGGGGAAAGTTGTTAAAAGGTATTACCTACTGAATGCTGCTGTGTCTCAGTGCGATGACAGGAATTCCTGTAACCATCTTGAAAACCTGATGATGAAGCTAAGACACAGAGGGTGAAGAGCCATGAGACTCCAGCAGAACTGATGTAGAAGTTCTGATATACCTTGCCTGAAGATACCTTAATTCTGAATATTTTGTTAAATACAGCTTCCTTTTCTAGGTAAGGTGGATTTTCTATTCCTTGAAGCCAAAGATATTCTGAGGATATTTAATTTGTTCTACTTTCTAAAATGTATATTTAAAACTTCTCTTATCTATCTACTGTTTTATTATTTACTTAAAATAATTACATTATGAGGCACATTTTCCAAATACAATACAAGTAAGCTAATTCTAAAACCTCAAAATAGTGGCTAAATTTTACTTTAAAAATTAAATTCAAAAGTATCTTTAATGTAGTGAATTATTTCTCATGAAAACTTGGTCTGTATTAGAGGTTCTTTTCAATCATGGTCCCATAATTATGAGTAACTTAAAAAAGAAATACTAGTTCATATGGGACTTGGTCTTCTAAAACATGAAATATGAGGATCTTCATTTAAAAACGCAAGTTGTTTTCAATTTACTCCTATGAGAAACCGACTGCTAGAAAATTAGAAAAACTTAAAAAGTAAATAAATAAAAATCATTTTTGGACATGAAAATTCTGGACACCATTGAAAGATTTCGACTTTATTTGATCGTTTCTCAGTGGATTTATACAAATATTAAGAACATGAAAATACCAATACTAAAACCACTTTAAAAAGCTTATTTTTACCAAGTATAAATTTCCATTTAAAAATTTAAAAATAAAAATTTAAAAGGCACGTTTCTATTCAATTGGCTGCACATGCAAGCAGGCAATGTGTGTGGGGAGAGAGAAGGCAGAGCAGAAGCAGTGACTCAAGGCATCTCTATGTAAATTAGCTTTTACTGGAATGCTTATCAGAAAGTGAAGATTCTTTTTATTTATCAAGGCACTTGAACATAAAAAGAGTAAAGTTTCGTGAATGCCTGAACCTCTACTGCCAACTAGGATGACTTGATAGAATCACACACATACAAAATTTAGAATAAGTAAAATTTATATAATCAAGAAAATCTACAGGATCATATCTTTTTGTAAACTGACAGTCATTTCTTAAGGTAAATATTAAAAATAAGTAATTTTTACTAAAATGGCATATTATTGTGTCATTATGAAGCTATAGCTACAATTTATCTAAACATCTGGTATTATGTCCTATTAAATCCCCGTGCATGTGCGAAGAGAATGATGAACTCAGTTCCCTGATATTATCTTGATAATCCATTTACAAGCATTGTGAAATATTGTTCAAATATTTGAACATTTTGATAGAGTGGATTATCCAGAAAGAGATGTCAAGGTTTGACACACCTACTACACTTCCCAGTCCTGTTTCCTGGCACCCTTTCTTAAAAGCTCTCTGATTTGGAGGTAAATACTTCTCAGCATAGTAATTCAGAGAGCCAATGAGTTATAGTTGACATATGGATTTCAAATAGACTCTTACAGTAAATCAGTATTTACCAAGGCATGTTAATAGAATTGAAAAGCAAGACACTTTAAAAATATTTAGTATAGGCTGTGTATAAGATACTGTATACACAAAAGTTTTGTTTAGAAAGTACTGAGAATATGAAACTCTGAAAATAATAGAAGACAATACAGATGAATTGTGTGTGTGTATGGGGGGGTTGTATATTTGAGGTGTTCAAAGTGTTTTGAAACATACCATTAAAGTCACCAAAGTATAAGATTGCAAATTTTGAATTTAACTTTGGAATGACCCTCAAAACTATAAACAAGATGGGAATATCAGGAAAAAAAAAAAACCAAAACTAACAAATCCATATAAATAAAAACCACCCCAACAGGAAAACAGACTAAAGTCATGAAAATAGACTAAGATCATTTTCAAAAATATGAAAATACAAATGTCCAGTAAATACAAGAAATGCTGTTTAACTTTTGAGGTAATAAAAAAGTAAAATAAATAACCATGAAATATTTTGTTTTTACATGTCATGTTGAATCAGATAACAACTTAAACAAAATCCTTTGTTCTTAGAGTATATGGAAATGAGCCATCCTCCATACTCAGAAATGTTAAGTGGCACAAATCTCTGAACAGCATTTGGGCAATTTAAATATTAAACATTAATTCCAATGAATCATACATTTTCTGAAGAAAATAATTATATACATCAGCATATAAGAGTCTGTAAAGGGTGTATCTCCAAGTTGTTTATGATAGAGGAAAAAAAAAAAGGGAGGAAACAATCTAGCAACCTATATTTTTATCAAGAGGAAATTGTTATATTATGGTACAAACATTAAAGGAAAGATAAAAGTCATTAAAATTATAGTGCAAATAATTATTTGTGGTCATGGACGTTGACTATGGCGTACTGTCAAATTAAGAAAGCAGTTTCAAACAAGGTTTAGAGCATGATTCCATTTTTGTTAAATCATGTGTATAAGTATAGAGAAAAATTTGGGAGGAGATGCAAGAAACTGTAACAGAAGATCTGTCTGCATAATAGGATTATGTGTTGCCGTAATTTTTTCATTGTCCATAATTTTTCATTGTTTAAAGAGATTTTAAATTTAGAAAATGTGCAATGAATATACATATAGTTCATACAAAAATAAACAGAAACAGATTTTCTCATTCTTTCATAGCTAAAGTATTGCCACGGAAATATTTTAATATTTCTTTTGTACTGGTAATATATGAAACAGAAGACTTGAATATATGGTTACAGGAAACAACGAAGCAGAGTAAAAAAAAATAAAACAACAACAACAAAACTATTTTCTAGACACCTTTGGTATGAGAGAATCAGAATTTTAAAAGTAATTACTTAAATGTAAATAAATAACTCTTGCATCTATTTCCAAAGTGGATTTCAAACAGCACACAGTAAAAGTCAGTATAATAAAAACCTTTTTAAAAAGTATAGAGGAGCTGAGTAATATAGAGGAAAAGCAGGAGAGAAGAAGAGATCTGGGAATGGGACTGAAATAAAAATCATGCTGGAAAGCAGGCTAAGTGATGTAACTTCAGTTTATCAGAAAACCAATTAGTGAACTTCTGATCAATCAAGGCTAAAAGTGAGCCTTCATAGGTTACATAGCTCTTAAGGTCTAATAAAAGGAGACGTGGAGTTCATAAACATAAACTCACTGTTCTGAGCCCTGAGACAATATCACTACATGTTACAACATATAACAGAGATTAGAAAACACAGTTGTTAAACAGAATGTCTATGTTTTCTATATATGACTTTTATAATGTTGGTACCTGGTTCAAAACTTAAGGCATAATTTTATGCCGTATACGTATGAAGAGAATTAAGACTAGGCCAACTTTTTGACCTGAAATGATACAGCCTTATAACTTAAGGAATGTGGAAGTTAAGGTTTTACTATTCAAGTCACAATTTTGATAACCAGCAAGCACCTGGATTATGTCAACCAATGGAAAGAACGGTAAAATTTCCTATAAAGCACATTTGTAGGCAACATTAAAAAATTCCATCATTAATTTCAGCCATCAGAAAAACACCATTTCAGGATATAAATTGAAAGGAAATTCAACTATTTCCTAGTATTTTAAACATTAATTCAAAATGAAATTAGATATTGAGTTTGTAGTAGCAATTCTTAAACTTTGGTTTCTTTAAAAAAAAATTGATGAGAAATTTGTTTGTAAAAATAAATTACTTTGCAATCCTCGGGTATAAGAACTACTTTGGGCATATTTTCACGGAAGAAATTAAAGCTAGCAATATTATTAAAATAAGAAAAAGTATGCAATAAATGCAAATAATTACCACACTTCAGTTCATTCAAAATGCAGTAAAAATGTATCTAATTATACTTATTGCTATGAGCACTACAACAAAATCAGAAAAAATACCATATTATAATTAGATGGTGTGCCTCTATAAAAAGAACCAAGGTTCTAAGATTCACTTATTTTTCCTCCAAAGAAAAATAAATAGCTTTGTATGGATCATAATGTTTACTAAACTAAGCAGCCATCAGCTGGGATTTGAAATTTACTGAGGACGATTCAGGCAGAGATCACTAACATCTCCCAAGCTGCTACAAACACTGGCTGGTGCATTAACTTTTCCTCTCCTAGGGCCTCTGGGCCAGGGCGATGTTGAGCGGCTTGGAGCCCAAGATGTGGCCATTCATCTCAGTCATTGCTTTAGTGGCCTCCTCAGGAGAGGAGAAGCAGATCAAGCCAAACCCTTTGCTTCGCCCTTCTTCCTGCATTACCTTAACTCTGCTAATTGATCCAAATGAAGAAAATTCCCTCCGTAGCTTTTCATCATCAATGGTCTCATCCAGGTTCTTAATATAGAGCTTTGCTCCCCGGCACCGTCGAAATCTTTCCTGTTTCAGCTGCTCAAACATTTGCTTTAACTCAGCCTGTCGTTCTGCTTTCTTTTGTGCCCGGCCTACAAAAAGCAGTTGTCCATTTATGTCCTTTCCATTCATTTCTTCAACAGCCTTTTTGGCAGCCCCGTGGCTATCAAAACTCACAAAGCCAAAGCCTTTGGATTTCCCACTGGAATCTGTCATCACCTTAACACTCAGGGTTTTTCCATATTTGCTGAAAACTTCCCTCAGTCTCTCATCATCCATGTCATCTCCGAAGTTTTTAATGTAAACATTGGTGAACTCACTGGCTTTGTTTTGGAGCTCGGCTTCCCGATCTTTGCGGCTCTTGAATCTGCCAACAAACAGCCTGCAGTCCTTAAGCAGTGCCCCATTCATCTCCTGGATGGCCCTGTCGGCGGCAATCTGGTTCTGAAAGTGCACGAACGCATAGCCCCTGGAGCCGTGATCATCACTCATCACCTTGGAGGACAGGATCTTCCCAAAAGACGAAAAGTGTTCATAAAGGGTTTTGTTATCAATGGATTTGTCCAGATTCTTGATGAACACGTTCCCAATTCCAGATTTCCTCAAGTAGGCGTCACGCTGAGACCACATGAGACGTATGGATTTGCCCTTTATCGGGTCAAAGTTCATAGTGTCCAGGGCCTTCTGGGCATCCGCCAGCTGCAGAAAGTTCACGTAGGCATAGCCCAGAGAGCGGCGGGTGACCAGGTCCCTGCAGATGCGGATGGACAGCACGGGCCCCACAGCGCTGAACTTCTTGAACAGCAGGTCCTCGGTGACGTCCGCGTGGAGGTCACCCACGTACAGGGAGGCCTGGCGGTACTTGGCTGCTACATGCATCTCCTGGCTCCTCACCGCCGCAAGCCGGTCCCTAAGGAGCTCCTGGAGTGACTTCTGCAGGAGGGTAGCCCGGGCTCATGCGTGGTGGCCTCAGAGTCAGCGCTCTGAGGCCAGGCGATGCGGTTCATTCACGTACAGCTCCCCAGGCTCGGGCAGCAACCTCAGTCAAAAGCCCCAACCAGTCCGGCCAGCCCTGGGAGGGGGCGACAGAACCTTGAAATCTCAAAGAAAGATTCCTAGGTCAAGCCGTCCTTCCCAGCCACTTGGTGAGGAATCTTCAAGTGGCGGGCTGGCCCTCCATCTCAGCGTTCTCCACAGCCATTCTCCGGTCGCTGGTTTCTGAATAAAAATAGGCCTCGCTCAGGCCGGTTTAAAGTTACAGCCGCCGGGGGAAAGAATTCCACAAGTGGCGTCTGAGGCGGCGGCCCGGGACGCGGCGCGCGGGCGGCGGGCGCGGGGCCCCGGAGCCCCGAACCGCCAGGGACCGGGTCGTGCAGGCGCCGCCGGCCGGGCGCGGCCGGGGGCTCCGCGGGCTGCGCGTGCCCTGACCAACCCCGGCCGCTCTCCTCCCTGCAGACCCCGCGCTGCGCCCTGGGCAGGTCGGGGGTGGGGGGGATGGGGGTGGGGAAGAGGACGGACCGACGGACCGACGGCCGCGGCCCAGTGGGCGGCGGCCGGGCAGGGGCTGGGGGCTCACCCGGGCTGCGGCCGGCGGGGGGGCGGGCGGGAAGCCCGGAACTCGCGCGCTCAACTTCCCGCGCACTCGCTGCCCAGGGGGATGTTTTCTTTTTAATGTTTTTGGAGAATGTTTTTCTTCCCCCCGCCCCTCTCGCTCACTTCCCACCCACTTCGGACAGCTCAGCTGAGGAGCGGGAGGCGGTGACCGGGGTGGAGAAAGGCAGCCTAGGGGAGTGGCCCTAATAAACCCACCCGCCCGCAGGCCCTGGCGTAAGTCTGACTGCAGGAGCTTTGCCAAGTGTGGATCAGGGCTTGTCACTTTCTAGCTTCAAGCCCTCCAGTGGCTTTCTTCGACTCTTGGGTAGGCTCCAACCTCCGCACCTTGTTCTTCAAAGTTCTGCAGGATTCCTGCCATGTTCCAGCCTCAACTGCCCCTTGGATCCCCTTCCTAAACTCCATGACACGCTCGCCTTTTGTTCAGGGCCAACTTGACAAAACTGTGTTCCTCAGCAATCACTTTTGATGCTCTTTCCAAATACAGGTTTTCCCTATACAACTTCTGAAAAAGTTTAGGTTTCGCTCTTAGAGGCCTCGTATTTTCGTAGCATTTGTCTAATTAAAATATATTGTATTACATTCCATGACAGTAGGGACCATGCCCATTTTATTTCCCCGCTGACTTAACTCAGGGACTTGCAGAAACGAGATGCTCAGTATTTACTGAAAGAATCCACTGCGTGGAGGAGATGAGATATTTAACCTGAGGTTGGTTTTCATGCCCAGAGAAATGGAAATAGTGTCCCTTACCTCAAAGAGTATTGTAAAGATTAAATGAATTAGTAAATTTGGAAATGTCTAACCTAATATCTGGCACAGAATAGGTTTTGATTAACATTGGTTTCATTTCCTCTAGCATTAAATAAATTCCGTAACATCATTCCTATAAAACCTTAAATTTGAATCATCATGCATCTTACGGAATGTAACCTGCAAAACTGAATTGCATGGATCAGTTTATATAAGGCTAATTTAGTGTTTTTCAAACTTTAATGGACATAGAAATCCAGAAGGGATCTTGCTTGAAAGCAGATTCGGATTCAGTCATTTGGAATCAGAATGAACTGGAAACTCTACACTTCCCAAAAAGCACCTGAGTGATGCAGATTCTGTTGGTCTCTGAACTACACTCCGAGTAACAAGACTTTTTGGCTGAACGAGTCCCCAGAGTGGCATCTTTTCTAATGTAAGGACTATAAAAAATATATTTCTCTTTCAGAAGATGATATCTAACAAAATTCATTCTCAGTGATACATTAAAAACACACACATACACACAACTAAGCTAGAGGGTGATTTTCACTATAATAATCCAAATTGCTTTTAACCTATCAGATGTTGAATAATGGTTTTATGATTACTCTTAACTTCATCCTGATTAATGATTTTTGTTTGTGAAATTTATTCTGCTATGTGTTGCTCCTGTAGGATCAATTGTTCAAATAAATAATCTTTTCTTCAACCACATCCTCTAGGCTGCAATAAAAAAAGAAAAAAAGGCCGCTGACGTAGTTGGTGAATACCGTCAGTGGATTTCAGCACATACTTTATTTAGACACTATATGGCATTGTTTAATGTAAATAAAAGTGATAATCATATTCAGTATTACCAGATTTTTTTTTTTTTTTTTTTTTGTGGTACGCGGGCCTCTCACTGTTGTGGCCTCTCCCGTTGCGGAGCACAGGCTCTGGATGCGCAGGCTCAGCGGCCATGGCTCACGGGCGCAGCCGCTCCGCGGCACGCGGGATCCTCCCAGAGGGGGGCACGAACCCGTGTCCCCTGCATTGGCAGGTGGACTCTCAACCACTGCGCCACCAGGGAAGCCCCACCAGATTCTTATAAAAGAAAGTTCCTAAGTGTGCATTTACTAAGAATTTTGTTGAGACCTTTTATTTCTAGGAAAAATGCTGAAGATCACATTAGTTCTTTGTACAACAATAATACAGCTATAGCGAGATACCAAAATATTTCAAAAACTCATGGACTTTCCATTTTACTTTAGTGTGATCATCACTAAACATTTTGTGAGAAGTGAAGAAGAGTTTCCAGATTCAGAATTTAGTCCTATATTCTTGTCTCTAATCAGTTTGCAGGCAACAGGTACAAACCTCTATTTGTTAAATGACCAAGAGTCGTACTTCTTCCTATTTGTACTACTCATTATACTGCCTTCATTTTTATGTTTTAATAAAGTAAGCATTTTTAGGCATCTATGATTCTTTCCTCTCTTTAATTCTCTAAATCTCATAGTTTTGTCAGTTGTGTTGATTCAATAATTTCTTAATTTGGGATGTCTTTTACATTTGCCCTTTCTTTCTGTTCCCATTACCACTGCTTTTGCCTCAATTCCTTGTGTATTATTGCATGAGCTTTACTCATTTATCTTCTTTTGTCTATATGCCAGTCTGTTTTTATGGCAGTCCATTGTGCATTTTGCTGCTAGAATAATCTTACTAACAATTCTTTCATAAGATTTCAGTAAAAAAATTACAAATGACTACCATAACTTTGCAATATCAATTCTATCCTAGCTACATATATCTTGTCAAGCTAATTCATTTGTTTTATATGTACATGCAGTTAATTCTTTTAAAAATATCCTTTCCCTATTGTTATCCAAATTCTATCATCCTTGAGCCCTGTTTTCACCAGTATTTTTTTCTCTCAATAGTCCAGCTGACACCGATTACTTTTCCTTTTCAGAAACAATTTATTTAATGTATGCACTGTGTATTTGTACTTAATTTTGGCATGAGTTCATTGGCTTTGATGGACTTCGACTTAAAACTGATACCGCCTACATTAACTGTCTTCTGGTTTCCTTAGCCAATTGTTGCAGCTTTGCCTATTGCTGACTTGAGTATCTTCTTAATTCCACAAATATTCTGAAAACATTTCAATTAAGTGCCAATATTTTGCCTCATTTTGAAGTAAGTTGTAAGTTTGCCCATCTTATGTTATTTAGCTCAATCAGCATTCAAAGTACAAGTTTGTTGTGTGGGTGTCTCACAGAATTAAGAGGAAATAAGATGCCGTTTTGCTTAAATGGCAAGAAAAATGTTTGTCAGTGTTTCTATTCACTGATTTTGACGTTAATGGAGGTCAGGGCTTACCTTAGTATATATTATGAAGAAATGAGTAAATAGCTATTTTGAGTATGACGATGCACTTTAAAATAGAAATTCTTGTACTAATTAGGCCAAAGCAGTTTCTGATGTCTACTTGAATCATTGCTCTGATGTAGTCAACTATTAATAAAATTTTCCTTATTTTTGTTCAAAATGGGCTTTATTATCTTAATAGAGAGTAATAACATGAATGAAACTTGCTTTTATTATATTTTGAAAGTGCTATGTTCAATTATTTACTCTAAAGTGTAATATTGCATCTTTTAGGTTGTTTCAATTTTATTTGACAATTATGGTCTCTTTTCAGTTGTAATTGTCTCCTGATTTTTTTTTAACCAATATATAGTGTTAATTTCATTAGAATGAGGTATATGATTTACATATCAGAGTTACACTTCTCCATTCAGAGCATATAGAAATGTCGCAAAAAGTAATGTTTGATTACCAGTAGATCTTGATCAAAAGTTCAAATCAATCCAAAATATCATTCACCAGTAAAAATATAGGCATCATAGAAATAAAACTGAATAAGACACAGCATCTTTCCTCAAGAGTCTCAAGGCCCTTATAAGAAAAAAACTGAAACAACGTTAAAACAATGTAAAATCAATAATCTAAGAATAAATAAGACAGAAATTTAGGAAAGAAAATATATGAATAGTTCCAGCTGTGAGGACCAAAGAAGCTTTTGCAGAGAAGATTGTACTAAAGAAGGCCAAGCCCTCTTTTTGTGAACTCTGGGGAAGTTTAGGGATAAGTAATATTGGTATCAACCAGTATCCATTTAATATTGCTGGAATATAAAGTGTGAAGAAGAAAGTGGCAGGAATTGAGACAAGAACAAGACAAGGGCAATAGGCCAGAGTGCCTTACATGCTAGGCTATTTTATGGACTTTGTTCTAAAGGAAAGCTATTGGAATAATACATTTATATTTTATTACATTTATATTACATTTCAGAACTGTAAAGTGAAGATAATGTGAAAGACATGGAATCCTGGAAACATGAAGCAGGGATAATGTAAAGATGTATAATCATGAACCATCCTGAGTATGAAAAAGCATTTTAAAATAAAAATCTCTTGCGAATTCCCTGGTGGTCCACTGGCTAGGACTTGGAGCTTTCACTGATGTAGCCCAGGTTCAATCCCTGGTGTGGCAACTAAGATCCCACAGGCTGTGCAGCCTAAATAAAATAAGTCTCTCATACCAATGAGACCAAAGTGTTTCCTAAGTCTTCTGGAATGGTTGTTCTGTTGTAGTCAACTATTAGTAAAATAGTTCTAGGTATTGAAGTTATGGTGGTTAAGACATGATTCGTGGCGGAAAACATTTGTTTAAAGTTCCAATCTGACTGCCCTTAGATGGCTGCCCAGAGGTCCTTCATTGTGTCATCTTGCCCTCCCTACTTCCCTTGTACCCTCTCTCCTTGCTCTAGAGCTCTGACTTCATCTCACTGTTTCACCCATGTTGCCAAAACCAGGAAAGCTGCTAACCCTGTATTCTTCGTTTTTTCAGTTAGTTTTTACCAAGCAATCTGACTCCTCCATCACCAGGAATTATCACCTCTCATAACACAAATCCATTGTATTATTATGCCGAAATCTCCTCAACCCTAC